TAGATGTACTCGTCATTGTCAATATGGCAACGTACCGCTGGCTGGACGACACAGTGGTGGTGCATGACGAAACAACTTTGCAATGGACATGGGACTGCTACATTGGAACTGTGGTTCGAGGTACCAGCCAATCAATCTTCTAGCACAGAACAGTGAGGGGAAGGATATAAGTGCGAAACAATCGCACAACAAATGATTCGTTGTCGTCGTCTGCTTTAGATGCCCGAGAAGCGGAGGAACGGAAAAAAAACTGGGTTGGGAGCGATAGCCACGTGACTTCTGGCAACCCTCTCCTCCGAGCCTCCGTGCACATGTTTCCGTTTCGAGTAGTTGCGTTTTGTGGCTTTATTCAAAATATATGTGACTTTGTAGTGAAATATTAATTGGGTATGAAGCATGGTGTAAGCCGCCTCTGTGTGTGTCTTCTTCCTTGTGTCCGTTGTTTTTGCACCTTACACCATGCTTTATATGGTTCACCAACTAGCCCAACTACAAGTTCTTCTACATCAATTGGATAGTCTTCTGACATCATACTAAATTGCCTGGTAAAAAATTTAAAAAAACTTTCAGCCTTTCCACTTTGGTGAAGAAGGAAGACCAGCGAAGCTGTACTATGGTGGGAATGAAGTAATGGCTGGCCGCAAGTCGGCAAGCCAGAGTGGAAAGGCTAGAAATATTGCCGTCATATATGAGCATTGACGGCAACCAGACAAGCGACAAGCCGGTTGTCTGGTTGCCGCCGTCGCTTATAGATGGCGGTAGCTGTCCAGAGGTCTGTGTCATCAGGTCATTTGTGGACTGACACGATCCTGGGGAAGCTAACCCTTAACAACTCCGCTGTAAAAAAAAAAAAAAAATTTGGGGGGGAAGGGGGGTGGGAACCATGCAGAAGTTTTCATACTTTCACTAAATCATCAGGAATTCTGAAAGTGTCCAGGAGTCTGTTTTTCTTTCATTGTATTAACATTGAGGGAAGCAAAAATAGCGAGTTGGCTTTTCTTCTTGCCTCGCCAGTGAAATAAGTGGCCAAAGGTGTCGGAACATATTGGGTGCTGGAGGTTCTTCCGGTGTTGGCTCTTTGGGCTCGTGCCCAGAGCAAGCTGTCAGGAGGTCTTTCACCGGCTCGTGCTGCCATTCTTAGTCCCAGTCGCATGTTCGGGTTGGCAGTGCTTACTGTACGTCCTGTCCACCAAACTTCAACAGAGTATGGCGATCTCTGTCGCTGCACTAATTGGCCACCAACGCGCAGACAAATTGATAGTTGCCGAACACAAGCAGACTGGCAAACCACTGCTCGAGCTGCATTCAGCCATGACTCGCTTGGCATCTGTTGCAACCATCAGAACTCTTACCAAAAGAGAGAACGAGATATTCCACTTTTATTCTTAAAATTTTACAGGGCATGCAAAAATATAGCTACTTCGAAGTATGTTGGATTGCAAAAAAATATTTATTTAAATGGGTTTTCGAATTATCTGGAAAGAAAAAAAAATGACAAAAAACGTTCAGCCTTTCCACTCTCGTGAATAGGGAAGACCAGCGGAGCTTTACTTGATACGCTGTGCGCTTCTTCTTTGTCGTCATCTGTTTTTCGCGCTGTTTCCTACGATGAATTCCCACCAACGCGCCCAATTATCCATTCTTCTATTATAGTTGGAAAGTTTGCCGCCGTCTACGAGCGACGGCGAAACCATACTGGTTGTGTGCTTGTTGCTGTCGCTTATAGATGGCGGTAGCTGTCCAGGTAGGTTTGTTTTTGACATACACAGACATGATCCTGGGGAACCTAGCCCTTAACAGCTCCGCTGTAAAATCAAGCGTGGATGCTCCTTGGGAAAGTATTGAAATATTTTATTGCAAATGCAATTTGGTTATGTGAAATTGTCACCGACGTGGGTTTGCCAGGCTCGATAGCTCGCACCACCGAATGTCAACAAAGTATTTGCAGTGGTTTCAGTGAAGTGTGGAACAACTATAGTAGATTTACAGGGGAAATAACAGCAGAACGAAAAGAGGTGAAGTTGGTAAAGCTGAGAATGGCACAACAAACTTGGCTTGTCACCGACTATAGGTTTCACACTGAAAGGATAATTTTGTAAAGTTGGGACTCCCTGCCAAAAGCCTCCATGTCACAAACCCAGCAGCGAACCACGAACAATAGAAGCTTACCACTATAAAAATACAGAAATGTGCTATGTTGTCTTTTGTGACAGAATTAGGGTGCTAAGTTTGCCGCCTAAAGGCTGGAAAGTGAACTGGCGTGGCTAAACATGGGAATTGGCAGGTATGTCTGTGCAGGGCCCTTATATTATCTCGTCATATTTCTATAGAAAACTGTGGGACTGTGAAAAACCCAGAAATTATCTAGAAATATGCTTGGGCAGTGCTGGTGTCTACGTACATATTGTTCCGTATCAGATAGGACTAATAATCAAAACGAGATATATTTACACTATTCACAAAACATACATATAGACGACTCCAGTTCTTTGTCCCAAGGCACTGGCAATCTTGGTCTCGTTTGGCATTTCCGCATCGTCGTAGTCAGTATCGGTGGGGCTTTTCCTCGCGACACACCAGTACAGCTGTCCTTCTGGTGGCTGCACGCGTCTTTACTTGGGAAAGAGGCTTTGAATATTTGTTAACGTTCTTCCCCCCAAATGGGCAGCTCATTCCCTATTCACCTTGATAGGACCTTCTTTTCTTTCAATATTATCCCCAGACCTTGGTCTTTGGGAGTCGTTCGAAGTCGTGGGTTCCAAGGTATTTTTCAGCGCATTTCTGTCGCCGTGTGCCTCCACTTGAAACGTCACAAAGGTTCTTTGAAAGCGTTGATCTGGGTTTTCACAGAGCATGTGCGATACCTGTCTGGCTACAATGTCAGCCACAGAGCTTGCTGATAAGGCAAACTCGGCTCTATGCTCCTCTTGAGTCGCTTGTTGCAGGCTGCTTGTTGTGGACAGGGCACTTTGAGAAGGGGACCATGAACCAGTCTGTTATAGCCTCACTACCAACATCTTCAAAAACGGCTGGCACGTTCTACACGGTTGACATCGAGCAGGTTGCTTTCTTGTCCCGAGTCTGAGTGTAGCTCGCCGGCTGGACGAGTTAAACCATTGGTCGGTATATATATATATCGTTGATGATGCCGACGGAACCTCTGTGCCAGAGCTTAACACTAGGGCTGGGCAGTTGATCGATTAACGTACCGATTAATGCTTTAATCGCGATGAATCTTTTAAACCGGTTAACCGCTGAAATTTTGACGAACCAATAGAAAGTAAAAATTCAACGCTTTCACCTTGCAGATGTGGACGAGTACACCTGTATGAAGGGCAAACTTTAGAGGACATTTTATCCTAAAGTAAACTGTAGTGGCGATAATTGTAACTTAAGGCAATTACAGAAGGTTAAACATGTTCCAGCCACTTCAATGCCTTTCGAGTGTCTGTTTAGCGCAGCAGAGACTATTGTGAACAATCATGGGAGGTTGCTCTTGCTGTAGAATAAAAACGAACACCTTCGCCTTATGCAGCTTAAGTAATAATCTTTGAATGTGAGTGCCTTTGAACCATTCTCAACCCTGTTGCCATAGCAACCCATAAAAGAATTAACGTCGCAAGCCAATGCAGTCAAGGGGTCGGAGGTTGGTTCACACACTTGCGTGAGTCGGAGCAATCGTTGTAAAGATTAAGGTTTTGTTGGGGCCGACGCAGCTGTTGCCATAGCAACCCGTACATCGCAAGTCGTTGCAGTTGCACTCGGTAAGAAAAAAAAAAAAAATTGGCAACATATAAGTTTTTTTTCCCGAATAGAACCAAATTTATGTGAAGCAAAACTGAGATGAACAGGAAGGTGTACTTATCAGACGAGTTTCAAGCCCTGTACCGTGGCCATATTTACAATGATTTTTTTCGCATAATATGACCGATTTCAGATTATAATACCTTTTGGAAATGATGGATCCCCAGGTATAGACGCTTTCAGCACGCGCCAGATTGAGCCGCCATAGCCGACCTTCTCTTGTCTTACCGAGATGCCCAGCCACTGAAGCGGGCGTTGACGAGCCTTCACAAGGGCCTATGCTGGGCAGAAGAATGCAGTAACATCTAAAATGACACTAACCTGTCCTGCTGTGGTATTATGAAGTGCAGCGAACGAAATAAGAGGAAATAAAAACTGCAGGTCGGTTATGGCGGCGCCCATGCACAGCTGCCTGAGAGCGTTTATAGTTCAAATTTTAGCCAAAATTGGCTTAGTTTCAGTTTCTGGATTTGGCTTCTTTATGGAGAAAAAAAAAAAGCTCTATATATTTGAATAAGGACGGCTGGTGGTTCTCCATAGCCGTTTAAATCCTCACGAGCAAAGTTTCTTCGTGAAATCTGCTTGCTTTCTCGTGTATAGGGCCCCGATTGTACATCATCAATCGTTATGTCTTCCCAGATCGTAGCTTTTTTTTCTCTTCTTTTTTTTTAACCACGGTTTTTTCTCAAACATATCAATAAGTTATACTAACTGTTTTTATTTTCTGAAATATCTTTCCCAAATCGTGAGTAGTTTTTACTGAAATGATTCTGGTCGTTCTTAGTTACTTTGGCACTTCCATGTACTTCCAAGAAGAAAGAATTGTAATCATAAATGACTAGGAACGGCGTTGATACACTCTGTGCTGTTAAAAAAGCCTTGGGAAGTTTCGTGAGCACTTTTATCACATTTTTCAGACACTGCATTTTACTTTTTCCTGGACTGGTACGCGAGAAACATGTTTTCCTCATTGGATATTCATGCAACGTAGCCCCCCACTACCCTATGCATGTAGGGGGCAAATGACAACAAATTTCACGCAATAAGATTGACCCCTTTTTTATAGAGGTTTCTTAAATGCTGCCCATTTTTGCAGTTTTTTCATCTGAAGTAGTGAAACCAGACCCTTTTTTTATTATTAATATTATTCTTAAGAGGGGAATGAACAACTGAGATTGTAACACAGAGACCGTGAGTGACGTGGACATGTTTTAATGCACGGTGTGGAACAGCTTTTGTGTACAATTCATCTGGAGTGACAACATAAAATGACAAGCAGGACAATCACACATTACATGCGTGCTACAGGAAGCAGTTGAAGTTCTCTCTTAAATGTAGCGCACTGATCAAAAAGATGAAGACATGCAAGAACACATTTGTGGCTGTCAGCTGAATCTTCATGTCATTTATTTGATCACTGCTGGGATAAAACCATTTCTCGCTGCGTTAAAAGTCATTTGGTTTTGTAGGATGGAAGTAGAGCATTCTGTACCAGACTGTGCTGGATTCGGCGAAGTACGAATTGACACGTTCTTCCTCTCGAGTATTCCTTTCACTCGCATCACACGGAGCCTCCACCCTTTTTTCTTTCCTTACCTCTCGTACCCGCAAGCGTTCACCAATAGGGCCCGAAGAGGTGCGGTATCGCCCAGAGATTTTTCTGACATTGACGCGGACGATGCTCGCTGTTGACAGCTCCAGAAGCATCGACCGCGTGCGATGCCGCTTCTTGCGTGACCGTGCGGTCTTCACCGCCTATGGACCGTCGCGGGAACTGCACGTGTTGCATCGGCTGTTGCTTTTGCAGTTGCCTTGACGAATGTTTTCCTTGGTCCACCATGGACTCTGAAGCAAGAACGCCTTCTGCTCTGTGCGGGAGAGTTGACTTTTTGTTGTTGCCATCGTCTTCCCTGAGCCCCAGGGGTCGCCCACCGGGACCCCAGCCCCGAGAAAAGAATATGTTCCTCTTGCGTCCTCCCGCGTGCCACCCTTTAGAAGAGAAGATGAGCGGCAAAGCCGGTCGCTCTTGGATGTCCAGGGCCTTGGCACCGACGTGCTTCGCGGCGCTGGGTCTTCGGAGCGAAGCCTTCTGGCTTCTCTGTGGCTCTGGATGTCCACCCGGCAGCCAGCTTCGGGAGACGAAAACGCCTCTCTTCTCTTTCCCTCGGACGCCCCAGTTGTCCCGGATAAAGTCGCTGAAGGCGTCTTCGCGACTACTCTGGCGCTGCAGCTGGAGGACATCCTCGAGGAACTGCATACCGCCGCCGTAGTGGAGTCCCACGGTGTTTTCCGGCAAGAAAGGGACGAGCAGTCTCTCGCTGTCCCCGATCTCGTTGAGGTAGCGCTGGTTCGGGTACCGCTCGTCGGCGGCCATGCTGTCGTAGTCCCAGGTGTCGCTCGAGTCGCCGGACGACGACGACGTCGAAGAACGGGAGATGGGGTTGTCGTTGTACATTATGTCGGCGTTGAAGGCGGTCGGAGACTGATGGTTTCTGAGCGCGGAGAGATCTACCAGCAGCATGGGGCTGGTTGCCAAGTCCGGCGAGTGCAAGGCGGACACCAGTATGGAGGTCTTGGGGTTAGCGTGGTACCGCTTGTTGTGGCTGGGCGACGGTCCCTGCAGGGGGTTGTCCTTTGGAGCGGACGACAGCTGGGCATGGCTTGTCGTCGAGACGGCAGCTGCAGCTGTGGTGCTCAGGTGTCTGACCACGCAGAGGGACAGCAACATAACCGCACTGATGGGGAGGGCCATGCTGGTGGGCCTGCGTGGTACAGGACGAAGCAGCTATCGTTAAGCATTGTTTAGTTTTCGGAGTTACGGTGCCCGAATTGCCGCGGCGCCAGACACGGCGGCGCTGCGACTGAATCTATAGCTCGACGCTGCATTACATTCTGTGTCACCAGTGCCTTTCTCACGATAGTAGCAAAGACGGTGGTAACATAGTTACTGCGTGACCGTGCTGTATATGTGTATATATTTTTTTTGTACCTTAACCACCATACGGAGTTATTAAATATCATTTCTTTTTACAGCGAAGCTGTTTATGGCTAAGGTTCCGTGGATTTTTCCGCACGCCTTCCCCGTATAAACGGTTTGAAGTAAAGAAACAAGATAAAGCGTTGTCGAGCGCGCGTGCAAGATGCCATTTTTTGGGTCTTTGCTTTAGAACAGTTACTGCTGCAGACGCCGGCACGTGCGGCGCGTGGAACACCATTCCCTGCATTCCCCTCGATGCTTGGGTAAATTAGCAATAGGTATATTTCATTCCTCTTCTCTCGTCGTAATGGGGAGGCCGCGTATAGTCCGGACTCCCGAAGAGCAACGGCGGGAACAGCAACGACAATGTCAGTGGTGGCGGCGGGCGGCAAACACCACCGATAAAGATCGTGCCCAAAACGCCAAACGCATGCGGCAGACCAGACAAGACGACGAACGTCACGGAGCGGAGAACGCATCAAAAAGACGCAGGTACCATGCTGCTAAATTAAACAACTTTAATGGAGCATACGCTAAATTCTGTGTCACGTTTGTGTCAAGTGCTAAACAGCTTCGCTGGTGATCCACCTTCACAGAGTGAACGGCTCGTAACATGTTTTTTTTTAATTTGTTTTCCATTCCTTTAGCCCTTTTGTACTTTATTGTACCCGTTGAAAATACTTTCTACCATCGCCCTCACCGAACCACATCATTGTAAAGAATGCTACCTTTTCGTACGATGTCGTTGGGTTGCCGAGCCCCTAACATTCCACGCTGGCATCTTGTGGCATTTCTATTCCCTCCCTACGTATGTTGCATCGAGCTCCATGGTGCTTGGCTCTGTATATTCTTCTCCGCTCCCCTTTCCTTGTCTCGAACCGTGACGCGCTTCTTCGGATTGAAGATTACCCTATTTCTAATGCTGTTTTTTGCCCCTTTATACGGTATGTCTAAAGCTGGTTTTTTCCGCATTCTTGGCTCTGTTACTTTTGCAATACTATTCACTGATCCTGTTTGTCAACTGTTCCAATGGTTACTCACGCACAACCTGGGTGACGCCGCTCAGCGGCTTCTAAGCGAAGTAAACGCTATTAGAGTTCGTCTGTGAAGCTGAAGCCTTCCCGTGAAGCTGAGAGACTTTCAACACGAGACCAAATACTCTATAAGTAGAATTCATCCTATTCCGCTCATTAGCATTAAACAGCGCGCCTACACAACACCAGATACTCCCCTAGCGGTGTGGACAGCCCGGTTCCGAGAGAGCTCACGCCGCCGGCGGTACCGAGATACCTAACTGGCCAAGACAGCGGGGACGGCTGTCTCCGCTGTTTCGAAGGCTGTCCACGATGATAGGTGGCGGCAGTTTCACCCCTCCCAAATCAGAAGGGGAAAACCCCGAGGCCGCGCGCTTCCAGCCCTTTCTACTGCGCAAAAGCTGTTGGCGCAAAGACCATTGTATTTTCGCAGAGTAAAATGTATTTTCCTGGCAAAGTATTTCACGCGAAAGATGTACTCTCTCTTCCCTGACGCCACCACGCGGAAGCCACACACAGTTATCTGCCCGCCGCCTTTGCGATGCGCGTGTTCCGATGTGTCAGGCGTAGTTGAAGTTGTATGCATGGGAGGCTCTGGTACTACCAAACACTTAAAGCTAATAGCGAAAAAAAAAAAAAAAAGGAAAACGACGCTACTAGTTGAACGTTCTCACGCCAAGACTTATGTAAGCTTTCCGCTTTCCTTTTGATTTCTATACATATCGAAAGTCACGTATAGCAACCGATAGTTGCTTTTGTCAAGAGACGGATGAGTTCGGGCCTTCCCTACGCCGCTTGTTTATGTTCCTTTTTTTTTTTTTTTTTTTCAGTTAGCTAAAGAACAGGCCCGAATTCGGAGTGGGCGTTGGTGCACTGCTGGAGTATCGCAAACCGACGGGCCCCTTGTTTTATTATCGAAAAAAATGATGGAAGGTATGTGTGCGAGCGATAAACTGAGAGCCGTCCTGTGGAACTGGAGCTTGTCTTTTGTTTTCCTTCTTTTTTTTGTGTGTGTTTGTTTACGACGCTCGTAACTGGGTAATCACCGTATCTCTCTGTGATGTGGAAGTAGGGGCCACCCCTCGAAAGGGTTTATGGAGGGCGTTTGCTCTGGACTACAGTTTATAGAGTCGTTGAGTCGCGTGGATCACCTGAGATGATCCATCATTCCCTCCATTCGCGATGTATTTCGTTTTGTTGACGGAGCATTACCCCTGTGTCGTCGAATGGCCTTTAGTCGTAGTGTTCGATCCTTCTGATCCTGGTGCTGATCCGTTTGACTCCAGAGGAGTAGAACTCTCTCGAAGGAAATATTCGGAACACAGACTTCTTGCCCAGCAGCCGCGCGGGATCTTATATTTGTACATTATACTGAGTTTTTGTAGAGGCTTGATAAGGTGTAACTGGCACGATCCGACGTACTGTCTTCGCATGCGTATAAATAAGGATCCTTAGTTTTTCTAATGTATTGATTGTCTTGAGTAAAGCCACAAGGGGAAAAAGAAAAACCTGAAAAAAAAAAGTTTTTAAATTCGATTTTTTTTTTATTTTTTTTTTTACTGGGTGCCCAGGTTGTAGCTTGATGATAACTACCGTTAGGTTCTTTTTTCTGGTCGTGACATTCGAAGGGCTGCTTTTAAAAGTCAGCAATTAAAAAATAGAGAGAGAAAAAAAAAAAAACGCCGATGTGTTTGTTATGGGCACGTGGTTCTATACTCGCTGACAAGGTGAAAACGGCAGGGAAGAGGAGATCAGTTGTCCAACCTCCAGCGGGAGTTTGTATACCCTCGACAGCGCTTCGGCGTCAATTGTGCACCTCGAGGCGCGCACGCACTCAAAGCAGGGGCGGAAGGTATGGCGTTCGAAAGACACGCCCTGCTGTTCTCACTCTGGCAGTGACTATGCGCGGTGCTAAATTACTTTGCGTTCACGTATCTGGTTTACGTCGAAAGCCTCGACTTCGGTACGTACAAGACAGCCACGAGTCATTGGAGTTCAGAAAGGTATTGACGACTCCAGCGAAATCGTCGCCGCGTAGCGGCAATGCCGAGAAGTTTAAGAGGAGAGGTCATTTCGACTATGTCGTCTGCTATCGCTGCTTGGTTCTCGTAGGTAGCATAGAAACGAACATCGTTTCCAGTAATTATTTTTATGCTTCCGCCGTGTCATTCCTACGCACTGACTAGAAGAAGGTTTCTACCGTCGAAAAATCGCTCTGCTTTCATATATGTAACACCGATTTTAAGCTGCAGTGCATGAAATTTATGGTGGTCCACGCGCTGAACGACGAATTCGGCCTCCTTTCGTCCTCCATTTTGCCAGAGCATTTGGCCTCTCCAGCGCGCCCCCTATAGTTCGCTGTAGTCGCGAATAGCGTTGGGTAGCCTTAAACCGGCTTGCCGGAAGGACTCGCAGCAGAGGGGTACATGGTGGTCGGGGGGAACCGCATTTAGCGTTCATAAACTCTCTTCACGCTGAAAAAAAAAAAAAAAAAAAGGTGATTTAATTAATTGATTTTTTGTTTTGTTTTGTAACCGTGCGTTTTTCTTTGGGAATCAGAAAGTTTTAGAACGAAACATCATATTTTCACGGATAAAAATTTGGTCGTGAAGTTTGGAGCTCACAAAACAAGGCTAGAGCGATAGGCGGGACGCTGCAAAACCCCAAAACATCACTCATACAGCGATATCTCTAACGGATCCTGTCTCGTCTTCATCGCGTTCTAGTTTTTTAGGTGCTTCACAAGTTAAACGAATGGCTTTATTTTTGGAAAAGAAGTGCGCGATTGAACACGGCCGACGAGACATGCCACGTTGCGATTTTCATTCCCTCTCCTTTTTGCCTCGTTCCCTCAAGGTGATCCGAAGTGAGGAGGAGAGAAGCGAGGCCGCTTCCCTCATTCTCAACTGTTCCAGGAGAATCGTGACGTCACATTCCTCGCTTGATCGCGCCCTTCTTTTCCAAAAAAAAAACACGGCCATCTGTTTGAGATATCTATGTACGAGTGATGTCTCGGAGATCGTATAGCGTCCTGCTCAGCGCTTCTGCTGGCTTATATCGCGAAATCCAAAGTTAAATTCAGCATCCCTGTTATCGTAAAAAAAAAAAAAAAAAAAAAAGTGGTTTTTAGGTTTTGCGTTGTGATCAACGTGTTCGTCGTGTTTGTCACAATCACCCGGGTATCATGGTTGTTCAAAGTTAACCGGGACTTTTTTTCCTACAGGGGAAATAGAAAATCAAACAACCAGGAAACTATGTCAGTGTTTCAAAGAATTCCCGCTGTGCGCCCACGTTCCGCTGACATTGTTTTGGTCTGAGTGACGGCAGTCGAACGAGCGTGTCGGTGTGCTTCGTTTGTCGCCCGCTCTTGTCCTTCGCCTAACGGTTGACAGCATTCCTACACTCTTGCCCGTGACATCGTTTGTTCCCCATTTGTGCTCGCCATCTATTTTCGAAAAAATTCAACTGGTGTAACTTGCTTCTTCATAAAAAAATTTGATTATGCACCGCTCCTCTACAGCTGCAGACACATTGCTCGTCGCCGTAATAGCTGTAACTGTTGCGTATACGTCAAATACGTCCTTCCGGGCACGGGATGTTCGAGAAAGATTACGTTAACGTCCTCCGCAAGTTTCATCACGCCACACTTGTTCAGCTATTTTTTGTGCACACAGGTCCCTGTCAGCCTCGAACGATCCCCATAGCGCCGGCCCCGGCGCAGCTATCTTGCGTGGGTTCAAACTTCAATGCA